GCTTTAACCAGGACTGGAAGAATCCTACAATGTCACAAACACTGCTTAGATATTAAAAGGAGAGTATTGTGTGCATTTCAGAAGTCTCTTTATTTTTCCAAACCCATTCATATATAAAATCTGTGTATATTTAGGAGACTCAATTGTTTAAATGACCACGGTGGATTCAAAGATTTTTGAAGCCTCCAAACCCCCTGCCTTGTCTCTAACTTACTGGCCATTGTGAGAGCACGTTTTTTTTCAGCTGTCCAATGCTTCCATTGGCAATGGAAATAAGAATAGAATTGGTTTCTTTTCTGGGATCTAATCAGGGTTAAGCTACTCAACAGGTGGCAGAATAAATAATAAACTACATGTGCCTTTGTGTATGCCTTTCTCATTGCCTGCAAAGACTTTGACCACCCTTTCTCCCATCACTCAAGACCAAGCTCTTGACAGTGCAGCTGCATTTCCCCAGCTGAAAGCTATCTGTCTCTTGAAACCCTAAAGCACATCGTCTGCACCACCTAATGCTTATAGCTACACAGCCTCCTTTCTCTCATTAAAAAAGAAAATTATTTGAGGAAAGATCTAAGTTTTGTGCATCTTCGTGTTCCTCAAAAAGTCTAATGCTTAGGGGTGGTAGGTAGTGTGGTGGTTAAGGGCACTGGACTCCCATATGGCCAACTGCAGTTCAAGTCCTGGATCTGGCAGCTTGCTTTCTCTCTTTCTTTCTCTCTGCCCCTCTCTTGTCAAATTAAAATAAATAAAGTTAAATAAAATAATTCTTTTTAAAAAAAGTCTAATACTTTTCTTGGCATGTAGGTACCTAGTAGATAAGTATTGAATAAATGGATACTAAATAGCAAATGCTTAATAAGAGAATGAGAGATGCATACTTCCTCTCAGTTTTTTTTTTTTTTTTTTTTTTAAGTCTAGTTTAGACATGAGCTAAAGTAGAAATCAAAAGAATTTTCTCTCAGGTCTGGTGAGATGCTGGTGGTTACCATATGAAAACTACGAACAATTTAATTATTTGAAGTCATAGTGACAGCTCCCAATTCACCCTGAAAATATAACAAATCCACAATTTCTTGATTGTTTTCTCCTGGCTCCATTTCCTTAAGCTTATGTATATAACTTGGACATGTAAAATCTGGAAGATGCTTATAGCCTCTCTCAAGCTGTGAGCAGAAAAATAATATTATTATGTACATTCAAATCTTTTACCTATTTCTTCTTGTTTTTCTATCTTGTCAGTCTTTTAGGTAGGACTAACATTTTTATCCTAATTAGACAATTACACATCATGATGCACTAATTTGTTAACCTATGTTCACAAATCATTTAATTACCACTGCTGGCTTTGATGTGCTGTTATTATTCAGTTATGGGAGTAAACAATTCGACAGCTAACAGGAAGAAACTCATTATTTTCTGAGAGATATTGTTGTTATTTTCGATGTTTTAAAAACACTTTAATCAAAACTTTAAAAAATACTTTAATCAAAATGTAAAAAAACTAACACTGTTCTTTTAACAAAAGTAAGTAAACAGAGTATTCATCGCTTTAATGTGGACAATTATTTGGGGGCGATATAATCACTCCTGCATTTCACAATGAATAGGATTCTTTAAAAAATAATAATAAGGGAAACTTCTATTTTTCCCTTCATGCTGATTCACAGATGATCTCCCATGATGATGTAATCTATAAGATGCAGTTTCTAATATTGATTTGTGGAGCATATTGGTGGTTGAAAATAAGAGGAGCAATCTCCTTTCTACTTGACGCTACTATTTACTGTTGCTCAAACTTTCCCGATCTTCTAGAACTGTTCATTTCATTTGGTAAACCCTCCAGGTTGTTGTCACTTTGTGGGAGCTGTAGGTACTTTTGGGTGCTTTCCGAGACTCCTTGATGAACAGAAAAACCAGGCTGCCAGGTGCAAACTCCCATCAGATTTCACAACTGTTTCTCAGGTAGTTTCCATACAGGATCAATAATATCATTATGCATTTATGTGAAAACATCAAAATTACCCTAAGGATTTAAATTTCTACATTCTCTGTACGCTCTCACTAATAAAATACCCTAGGAAAGGGGAGAAATTGTTACTTGATCGCTTGTAATAATATTGACTCACAGGATTGTCATCTATGGCATAGCAGGATGCAGGATCAGACTGTTATCTTCTAGGTTCTCATCTTTTCTCCACAACTACGCTGTGGATTCTCTAGGGTGGGGGACTTTTCCTTATCCCTCTTAGGATCTCTGTATTACCCAGAAAAGCATCCAGGACAGAGTAGGTTCTCAAAGAAGTATTTATGGTTAGTAGGCAATAAAAGTAACTCAATGAATAAAGTGAGCCTTCCCTTTGTAACTCAAGGTATGGGTGTACAGTTCCTTATTTTCTTGTTACACCAACATAGCCTTTTCCTAAATGTTTTATGGGAGACTTTTAGATGGCATTGCTTGCTTCCTTGGCGTGAAAACTCACTTTTCAACTACAGGAAAACACACCAAGTGAACACTAATCTCAAGCATAGAAATGCAGCCCTTCCTTATGTCTGTTCTGTTAGGATTAAAGAAAAGCCGATCTAGTAGTATTTTTGCATTTTTCTTTTATCCTCTATCAGTCAGCAGCTTTACTCGTAGCCCACACTTACTTTCTGACAGTTTGTATCTTCATTTCTCAGAGAACAGCAAGTAAAATGATATTAGCAGAAAGAGTTGACGACAGTCTTTTAACACTTGAAACTTTTGATAGGAATCTTCCCAAACATCCTATCTGTCTTCAACAGCATAGGGTTTAACTCCTTATAACAACAGCAGGGTAATACAGGTATGATTCCTCCTGACAAAGGCAGAGAGATAGGGCAGCCCTACTGAATACAATGCTGGGCAGCCCAGAGGCACAGGGAATGGTACGTGTCTGCTGTTCACCATTCCTGGCAAGAAGTTATTATTTCAGTGCAAGTCTAAAAACTTTCCTTGCTAGAAATAATTTACTTCCTAAAAATGCAGCTGGAAACTTCTTCCTTTATTTTAAGTTTCTTTATTTTTGAGAGAGAAATAGAGAGGTGCACCCTTAATTCGGTCTTTACCTCATGATCCTCTCCAACCTCAGCCAGTGCAGATCAAAGGCACACACAGTCTGGGGAGTACAGAGAGGCTCCAGGACATGAACTCAGGACCTTCCCATGTGGATTTAGTTGCATTACTTCTGTGCCACCAACAGCTCCTGGAGACTTCTTTAAATGATTTTTAAAACTCATAAGCCATAGCTTATAATCATGTGACACCATACTCCTTGCTTTGGCCAACTTGCCTGTGATTTTTTAGGAGGAGGGCCTGACGCTCCCTATCCTGTGATCATCTCAGCAGAGGAACCCACCAGCTTTCTCTTCTGGCCACTCCTATGTTCTCTTCCTCCCCACCAACTCCTTCTCTCAGAGTCCTAATTTGAGGGCAAATACATGGTAGGTTAGAAGCAAATTTTAGTTCACTTTCCTTTTCTCCATGCAGCCCTTATTGCACTTCATTGGAGTCAGCTGTGGGCATCTGTCTTTGCTGCTAGCTTGTGCCCTCCTCAGTGGCAGGGATGTTCCTTAGTCATGGTAGCCTAGTGATCAGCGCAGTGCTTAGCACATGGTTGGCATCAGTCAGTGCGTGCTGTTTGAAGGTATGTATGAATTATGCTCATTTGTGTGTCTTGGCTCCTGATGACTCTCCTTAGCAGATAATGAGGGGATTCAAGAGTCCTTACTGAGGAAGGTGAGGTGACGCTTTGTTTTCTGTAGACTGTGCCTCCACAACCTGTGACCTATGAGAAGGTATGTGAAGCAGGCAGAATGGTGTTTACCCAGCCTTGACCATCAAGCTTTTTCTGTTCAGATACTTTCAGGCAAGGAACGCTTGGTGATAAGCATGCCAACGTGTTAACTGATCACTGACATGGGGCTGATAAGGGCTTCTTGGGTAGTTTGCATTCTAATTGGGGAATCTGGATCTCTTATATCCTGTGGGAAGGGCATGCCTTCCTCTGCTTCCAGGCAATTTACATTTCTCACCAATCCAGGTTCTATTCTTGGCTTGCCCATTAAGCCAGAGTATCATTCCCCATTGCCCCAGACTGCCACGGCCCATTTGGTGAAGTTTTGTTCTATTCTTACATTTTCCCTGTCATGGAGAAATAAATCCCAAAGTGAAATGCTTTTTAGAAAAGATAGCTTTCTCCCAGGCTAGCTTGGTGGCACAGCAGTAATAGCTGATTAAGTGAAGCTGGATCCATATGGAAGATCACCACAGGTTTATTTCCCAGGTCTACATGTGCATGGTGGGCACACATGCCAATGATCCTGGTTGGCTGAGAAAACCGGGAGCGAGTTGTGATATAAGTTCGCATTGAGGGTGCCTCTCTCTCTCTCTCATTTATATATTTTTTAATTTAAAAGATAGCTCTCTCTGTTGGAGACTAGGCATTCGAGGTATCATCTTGTGTTTCCCTCTCACTGCCAGAATACAAAGGTGAGAGCAATTGTTCATTGACTACTGCCTATAAGACTGGTTCCTCTATCCCCAAGCCACATGCTTTGTCCTGTCTGTCTTCTTTGTACTGCCCCTTTTGGAGCTGAGGTCCAGATTAGACCCATGTGGCCTGACCTTGTCTTTTATACTGCCAGAGGTATGACATTAGCTCATTGACAAAACCTGAGTCCTATAGAAGGAAAAAATGGTCCTGCAGCCTGCAGTGGTGACCTGAGTACCAAACCCATCTCCTTGCCCTGACTTTGTCAGTGATATTAGGCTACTTTGATCGAGCAAGTCATTTTTATGCTTTGAGCCTCAGTTTCCCCATCTAAACAATGCCTTAGATTCCATTTAAAATCATTTCCAGGTCAAAAGTTGCATGAGCTATTCAAGAGTTGGATTCAATTTGAAATGTCTCATTTAGGTTTCGCATAAAAAAGATCTCAGCTGGCAGATCAATAAGGATTCTAAAGAGATCATTTTTCACCTGTGAGTCCTTCATTCATCATTATCTTCCTTAATCATCTTGTGTCTGGTGCCGGTCCTGGGCCAACAGATTTGTCCAGCTACACAACTCTTGCTCTTCTGGATCGGCAGAAAACAGCGAAAGAGGTGCTGGAAGAGGCAAACTCAGTTCAGTTTGGCGTGGCACAGAGAAAGACGGAAGTATTAATCAATGCAGAAGTGATTGTTGGCAGGAGATCAGAAGGCTTTGTCCAGGTTCATTGAGTGAGGAGAGAGGCCATGGACAGAGGCAAGAAAGGTACAGAGCATGAAGGCATTTGGTTGGGGCAGCCGCCACAGGATGCTCTATGTGGGGACACAGTGCCTGGAACACCTTGTCCGTACTAATGAAGCATGGAGCACCATGTGTTTTGTGTAAATGCAGGAGGCTAACTAATGGATTCATTTGGACAGCTTGTCTTCTCAGAGTGAAGGAAGTGGTGACAGAGTGCTAACCAGTTTTGAGAGGGTAAGTCAACAGAACAAAAACACTGTAGGTCTCACATAGCTTACTAGAATGCCTTCCCCCAAACCAGAGTGTAGACGCAAAGCTGCTCACCTGTTACACATCACTTGATAATTCACAGACAATGGTTTTGAATTAGAGTAGGTATTTTCACACATATCGTACTCTGCTGTTGGTAAGCACACATCTTCTCCACCATCTACTGCAGTAACTATGTAGGAATGATTCCAGAAGCTCAAGTGCAAGGGGAAAAGTACTTTTCAAAGCCAAATTCAGTGTCAGAATCAAAAGATGAAGTCAAACATTAATTTTTATCAGAGCGTCTCAATTTTTTAAACTATACATTGTTATTAGGCAAGAATGTATCACTATGTATGGAAATCTTATAGATTAACATTTAGGTGATTAAAAAAGGATAAATCCAGGGGCATTTATGCCTTCTACAAAAGGACTCCTCACTTTACTGAATATTGCCTTCAGGAGTTCTTTTTTAAAAATAGCAGCTTCTCTGAGCACTTCAAATGCGATCTGATTTACACACCTCAGTTGATTCTATTTCTAGTTCAACCCAACTTTAAATCATCTTCTTAGAGGCAAGGGAAATGTACTTCTCTCTACCTCTCTCTCCACCTTTCTCTCCATCCCTTCTCTTCTTTTTTTCCCCTTCCCAAGAAACCACGCCATTAACTGGGTCGAGATTTGCTACAGAGACCTGCAGTGCCAGGCTATAAGGCCTGGGAGATGTGATCTATCCCACATCCTGTTTGAGGAATGAAAAAGTTCCCTGGGAGATGAAATGACTTCACTGAGATTACCCAGCAGGTTTTTCTATTCTACAATATTATCTTTTTACTGTAGTCCCTCACTTCACACCTACCCATCTTGAGCATTGCCTCCAATGGCTCAAACATGTTAAGGAATTGTCCCTGGTGAAAAAGCAAACTCCTAGTCCAGGGTTAACACATTGTAGCTGCCATTCATTTTCAACATAGACTTGGGTTGCCAGGTCCTTGCCCTGTTTGATGGTACTGTAAAAAAGTTTTGAGGTACTAAGTTGTGGAACGAGGCCCAGTAGGCATGGAGCATGGGGTCAGCCTGGAAAGTTGAGTTGGTGGGGCAGCCTGAGAGGGTGACCCAAGAGAAAGGTAGGGTAAAATGTAAAGTAAAATTTGCTTTGCTTTTTGAGTAGTTTCTCATTCAAATTAAAAGCTAGCATTCATAGGCCAGCTGCATAGCCTAGTGGTTAAGGGAACTGGATCCTATGCGGACAACCATGGTTTGGGTCCTGGTCTCAGTGGCCTGGAGAATATGCTGGGTGTATTTGTGTGTGTGTCCTGGATTCCAATGAGATAGAGCAGTGGAGGAGAGGGGATTGCTCTATGACCGTGCCCCATTATGGGGGTGCTTTGTCTCTTTCTCTCTTTCTCATAAGTGTATGTGATATCCGACGACAACAACAACAACAAAAAACTGGCTTTCATTATTTAGTATTTTCCATACCCATTCTTTGGTTACATTTGTCTTAGAATCTAAGTATGCTTCAAAACCTAACATTGAAACTGCTGTTTATATTATGGTCTCCAAATTCTCAGCTTTCTCATTCTCTTCAAACCATTGCAATCTGGTTTCTAGCTTCCACTTCCTACTTTTTAAAATTTATTTATTTCTTCCATGACAAAGAGGGTGGGGAGATGCACCCTAATAGGATTTTCATGTTGTGATCCACCTCCAGCCTTAAGCAACTCAGAGTGCAGGGATGTTCACATGTTCCTGGTATGCACAGAGAAGTCCTGGGATGAACACCCAGGATCTTTCCACGTAGTTCCAGTGTGTTACTACTTCATCACCACCTGGCTCCCTGGCTTCTACTCTTAAGAGCCTCAGTGGTCTCTCTGTCCCCAAATTCAGTGGATATATTTTCAGTTCTTGTATTACTTAACCTCTCAGCAGCACTTGACTCAGTTAACAACTCCCTGATTCTTGAAAATCTTTTCCTTTATCATTCATTAAACCACATTCTCCTGTGGACTCTCTGCTACTTTTTCTTTTCCTCCTTTACAAACTCATCTTCCTCCACCTGGCCATTAAACATTGGCATGTCCCAAGCCCCTTTCCTTCTCACTGTATAATCCCCTCTAGGCAACCTGGTCTTATCCACAACTGTGGTTTCAATTATCACCTTCATGAACATGATTGACAAATTTTAGCCCACACCTCTGTGTGCCCCCTCCATAATCAACTTAACTTGGCCTTCCTGTTGGATGTTTTAAGAGTCTTGAACTCAACACATCCAAAACCTCATTATTAATGAGCTGCCTTTCACAGGCTCTGCGATCCAGCCTCACTGACCTTCAGTTGTCATGTTGAGCTTCTTCCCACCACAGAGCCTTTTCTTTTTTCTTTAATTTTTGTTTTAGCATGCATGTGCTCACTGGAGAAGGACAGAGAATGAGAAAGAGAGAGAGGGAAAGTGAGAAGTCCCCCTTCCCCCAAGGGTGGATGGCCATGCCACAATCTCTTCTCCTCCATTCTCCTCTTGGGATTTTGGGCATGCATGTACTTGCATCCAGTACATTTTCCAAGTCACCAGGTCTGGGACTCAAACTGTGTACTTGATCATGTGAGGTTCAGCCATCTTTTTTTTTGAGAGGGTTTTGCTATAGGGCGCGTTCGCTCGCCAGACAGACAGAGAGACAGGGAGACAGAAAGCGAGAAATCCCCCCCAGGGGGGGTGGCCACGCCACAATCTCTTCTCCTCCATTCTCCTCTCGGGATCTTGGGCACACACACGCACCCAGCGTGAGTTTTAAGCCACCGGGTTCCGGATGCGAACCACGGTCGACTACGTGGGAGTCCAGCGACATAGCCATTACACTAACTGCTGGTCTCAGGTTCAGCCATCTTAACCACCACACCACTTAGCTGACCCAACAGAGTCTTTTCATATGCTCTTTCCTGTGCTTAGATCACTGATCACTTACCTTTCCAGTGACTTAGCTTCTGTCGCCTCTGATCATCCTACTTCCCCCAGAAAAACTGTGCTGGGTCTCCTTGACAAAGCCAAATCCCCATATTCTAGGTTTCAAGAATAATTTATACCTCTTCTTTTCATGGAAAACCTGGTATGTGTGGTTTAAACACATGACTTATACAATATTTTGATGGAATATATGGATAAAAGCAATATGGAATTCAGCTGAAATTTTATATTTTTTGGCATAATTGTCTCTTCTCCACATTGATCTATGAGAATGAGAAGCAGGATCATATCTGCTTTTTCTTATCATTGTACCCCAGAGCTTGGCATGGTGCCTATCACAGAGTAGGTATACCATGAATACCTGAGCACGTTTTTATGAACAGTAACTTGGTTTCCTTGTCAAAAACTTGGAATATTGGGACCAGCAGTTGGCATAATGGCTATGTTGCTGGACTCCCACGTAGTCGACTGTGGTTTAAGTCCTCGACCCGGTGGCTTAAACTCACCCCGGATGCGTGTGCATGCATGCCCAAGATCCCGAGAGGAAAATGGAGGAGAAGGGATTGTGGCGTGGCCATCCCCCCTAGTGGGTGATTTCTCGCTTTCTGTCTCTCTGTCTCTCTCTGTTTTTCTGGCAAACGCACGTGCCCTATAGCAAAAACCTCTTCAAAACAAAACAAAATGAAATGAAACAAAACAAAAACAGAAAACCCTGGGAATATTATCTTGAACTCAACTTCATTCACAGGGTCTATAACAGAATCTAAGTAAATATGATTTACAAACTAAGGTGTTACCCAAATGTTAATGTCAATTACTGACATCAATGAAGGAAATGGGTCACTCACACGTAGCGCAGATAGAATATATTAAGGCATTTTATCCCATTACTTAAATAAGACAAAAATGATCAAGTGTCATGGTCTAAAAGTCTGAGGATTTTTAGCCTCAAAACTAAAGCTTACCAGACAACTTCTTGTCTCAAATTGATGATGACTCAATTTGGATACTTCAGGGAGCATATGTGATGGACAGTTTCTCAGCTGATTTCATCTATGAGATAGGGAACAGTCAGGCTTTGAGATAGTTCACATGACTACATAAACACTCATAGTGTGTAGATAGTTTAAACACTTAAACTGTGTCAATGTCTGTAGATAAATCATAACTCTTGAGATTATACATATTCTCCTGCCAATCTATAAGCAAATGTGGCCTGCAAGGCATTATCCCTTCAACTATGTAGTATTTGGAAGTTGATTTTCCCTCTCTGATTCAGTTACCTTACCTATAAAAGAGAAGTTCCTCCTGATACCTAACCTGTAAGTTAGGTAATTATAAAATATGCACAGAAGCACATATGTGGAAATATAATCTTGCCTTCCCTTAGCTAGACCTATGGGGACTGTGAATGCCAAAGGCTTCCATGAGCTATGCTCAGGCTCTACATATACTATAACCTATCTTGCCTACCTCATAGGGTCACTGGAGTGTCTAAAATAAAATTAAACAAGTGAAATTATTTTGTGAATCATAAACTTTAGTGCATGGGTAATTCATTCTTGTTAATGGTAATTGTTATGGTGATTATTAATGTCTTATATGCCAGTCATACCTATAAATAGCCGTAATGATTAATCAGGTTGTGATGTTCATGACCAAACACCTGCTAGGAACAAGGAAT